GAGGACCTAGAATTGATTATCTTTGTAACAAGCTTGGAACATATGATTTATATGCTCCAGCTTGAGGGGAAGTGTTAGATGTTAAGATGTGTGTTTCTGTTAATTGGGCTTAGCCCATTCTGTATTAAGGGCATTGGCCCATATCTTACATTATAAATAAACTACCCTATGTGTATGCAAAAGACACAAGGGATATTTTCTCCCCATCTTCTCTATTTCTCACATTTACCATGGAATATTAATAGGGAAAATGGCAGAGAAAAGTGTTCTGGTTGCAAAGGGAAAATGCAGTAGATAGAGAGCTAGGAATAAAGATGTAGAAGAGAAACTCGTTTGCCCATTTTCAAAAACCACCCAAAACTACCCGAATTGATTGTCTACCGCTCACTTGCCCCCTCTTCCCATTAACCATCAGTCAGCCTCTATCTTTACTTCAAAGCCTCCCACACTTCGTTCCACATGAAAATTTGTTACAGCCTGTGCAAGTCCCTCTAGTGCCCTTACCCATATTGTTGTCTATGATAAAGCAATGAAAATGTGTTCTCTCTTATGGGTCTTAAAAGTGATAATTTAAAAATTACATAAACTCCAAAAATTATCCACTAAAGAAACAAGCAGAAAACAAAATATGACTACTATAAAGTATGCAAACCAACAAACAAACTAGAACAATTCAGAAGAAAAAATAGCTGGCATATATACCTTCTCCGGCTGCTATAAGGGACAGTGCATGAGCAGGGGAGAGTACAACCTCTTCCTTTATTCCCTCAACGAAGGTTCCCTACATTTTAATCAACAAGTCAAACTTCGAGGGGGAAATTTAGAGAAAGAGAGAACAGAATCTTTCCAGAGAGAAATTAATGAATGGGAGTGCTTCTGTTTGAATATATGAAGTATCCAATAATATATTGATTGCATCTTAATCTCAATCAGTTATCAAGAACAAAGACAGAATATGTTAAAATTTGGTAAGAAAAAAAATAAAATCAGCACCTGAGCATCCTCTCTGATTCTTAAGTTCTGTCCAGCTGGATTTAATAAATCATTAACCACCTGAAATAAAACCAAAGTTTTGGGGGTAGAAATAACATTTCATTAAATTTCATTTCATGCACAGCTCAGAATAAAATAACAAAGTTTGAGGAAGACAATATCGACATGAAGACAAGCAAGAAGATAGAGAACAGGAAGCGGACTACCTCATTGTAGATCTCCAGATATGAAACTCGAAGAAGAAACTCTCTGTTTGGAGTCTGGTGAAAGGATCATCCGACTTTATAATGTATAGAGTAAGAAGCAAAAATACAGAAGCAACAGAAAATTGGCATTCAACATACCTCTTGGATAATGCTAAAAGCATCCTTCACAGCAAGAGGTATAATTCCCGGAGATCTTTGATCACCCTTGGAAAAATACGAGCTTTATAAGCATATTGGGTGTTTTTAGTATATACTTCGGTACAACATAAAAATTTAAGTTTTTGAACAAATTTCTATCTTAAGCATCATTTGATGAACAATGGAAAGCACAAGCAAAATAATGTAAAATACCATAATACACTTGTTAATATTAATTCTTTTAATACAACTTATACTATTGTTCAATATTATAAAATAGTATATTATTATATATTTTAATTATTTATTATAAAATGATATAGCATATATATTTTAAGTAGTAATACAGAGCTGTTTTATGTTTGTTGATCAATTATCATATATAATAGAGGAGTGAGAGTGAAGGAGAGAATGCATAATTTTTTCTTTTAAGGATCTAGCACTTGGAGCAAAAAGCTGCCCCCTTTTTACAGAATAACAAAAAGTTTTTGTTCTGTCATCTCCAACGCCTTTTGTTTTCTGTCCCAAAACTCTTTAAATTCAAAGGTTAATCATGTACTTTTATGTTTGTCCCTTGTTTTTGTGTAAATAAAATGGACCTGTTATGTTATACACTGTATCCCCAATTCCTATCTTACTAAGTGCTATCATCGTGTAACACAATAGTCAATAAGATCAATCAAATTATTTATTCTTATTTCAAAAGATAATAATTAAATTATATCAAAAATTGTACCGTGATAAATTATTATGAAGCTAAGAAGGAATACAAAAAACTTATCTTGTGGTTTTAAGTTTTAGGCATACTATGATGTTACCAGTCTAATTGTAACAGACATACACTAGTTGTACTACACTAGAGACTGATGAGATTATTAATGCACAGCACTAGTGATGATGATGCGTGCTTACCACAGACAATCACCATTGTAAACGATGTCTGTTATAACTTATATAGTCATAGTGATAAGGGATTTAAGTGGGAAAGAGAAAGAAAGAGGATGACAGTTCCCATAATTAATATTGGTGATCATCAATGTCTATACACCATATGCAAATGCCTTCCCATGGAAAGGCCATATAAAAATAAGCATATAAATAAACTTATTATACATTTCTTTCTTTTATTTTGGAAGAGACCACAGGTATCCTCCACTGGAAACAATTCCAGATAGTGGTTTTACCTGACTCAATTAGGATTTCTCCAATGCAAAATATATTTGATCTCTACCAATAAAAGATCAACAAGATGAGGGAAGAAAACTTTTGAAGTGTGATCTTACATGCATTGTATGAGTCTTCCCACTACTTGTTACACCATATGCAAATATTGTACCTGCAACAAAATCAAAGAATGGTTCAATTGTAAATTACTCAATAAGCCAATATGCAATTCAAAAATTCTAGTTCCTTGGAGACATAAGTCACTATGCGTGATTACTTCTAGTTGAAATGACCAACTTAAAGAAGAAAGAGCCACTATAAATAGGTTGTCATATAAATGAAATTGCATGTGTATCACCCATAGGGGGAATGCTCCATGGTCCAAATGATCAAGTTACCTCACTTTCTTTATGCATTGGTCATGTGAAGGTCCAAGCCAACTGATTACTGTATGCAATGACAACATTATATGAAACCAGTTGCTAAGATCTTGAATCTCAAACCTCTAGAGGTTACATCATGATCTGGCTACCTCCCTAAGCAAGAATCTGAGCAGTTTGCAATCTTATTTTATCAACAATCATAAGGTAAGTGAACAATTGAAGCCAGAAAATATATGGCTTCTACACATATTGAACAAATTTTTTTCGATGGCAATTCTTAATAAACTTTTGTCAATGGTCCATCAAATGTCAATACCATTGACACGTTCCAAAGTCAAAATATCAAACTTGATTTTTAATGAGCATTAGTATCAAACAAACAACTGATTGCAAATACCAAACCAAACAAATCAAATTATAGACTCTAAATTAGTTGGCATAACAGTGTTTAGTGTTATTCTACAGCATACATTCGTAAACTAATCTGCATAACAAGGATAATTTGATCATAGCAAGACCATATTTATACTTTAATCTAGCCAATCAAATAGAAGCAATAAGTTCAATCTGTCAATTACCATTGATGCCCTCCATAGAACCACTAATAATATGTTGAGCAGCAACATCATAGACCTGCCTAGTTGTAGTTGTGGGACCAAAGACACGATCTACAAGTAACAAGAAAAACTTAAATAAACAATATTGACAAGAAATAAAGAGAGGGAGAGAAAGATAATTTCCTGAGAAAAAATCCATACAATAAATTATTTTATTTGCAAAAATTGTACAACATCATGATATTTAGAATCTTTTCTCAGAGGATCATGATAGGCTTATTATATCATTAACTTCAAATTACGTCAACTATTCTTACTTGAAATTAACAGAACCAAAAGTGGGTCAGTTAGAATTAAAGTAGGGAATCAGTTTCTCAATTCCAGGACTACTATGGTTAGGTGGGTCCCACTGCCATTCCTCAGTTGGACTCCTTTTCTTATTTCAGGACCCTTCTAGGGAAGAAAATCCTCAAGTGACACTATTTTAAGACCCTATCAAAATAAAAGATCTAAAAGAGAAAAATAATGGATAGGTGCCTTTGTTTTTCATTAGGAAGTCAGATTAAGATGATTCAGGCTTGTTGTGCAGTCCCCCCTTCCTCTTTCTAACATCTTCTGATAATTTCCGAAAGGATAACACAGGATTAAGCTTAGGTAAGAGTTTCTTTGGTTGGGCGACATATATAAAGGAAGAGGCTATTGGACCAGCTGGAAAATATGATGTAGGTCTTAAAAGAATGGGGGATCTGGTCTTTGGAAGGTTAGGGCAAGTTTGGCTTTTCTGTTTAAAAAGACAGTTTTGCTTTTCGTCAGAAAATTTCGACTTATTTCCCACTTTCAATAATTAGTTGAAAAAAAAGAAGAGTAGGAATCAGTGAAACTTAATAGATTTTGGAAGAATAGACGTAGAGCATATTTATTTCTCAGGCTTTTCCTTGCCTCTTCAGTATTGCTTCATTTGATCATCACCATATCATTGCAGTCACAGTAGTCAGGTCCCCATCAATTCTAGGAAATGTATTTAACTAGGATTAAGCAGAAGGCTTCTGAATTGGAGTCCTTTATGAGTTTATTCATCCCCCAACCAATATCGCACATCTAAAGACCTAGAAGAAAGAAAGAAAAAATCTCTTTCTTGACATACCCTGTAGAAGTCCAACTCCTTAGATCAAGTCCTTTGTTCATCAGGTACTCAATAAGATAAATGCTAACGTTATGTTACAGACTCGGATCTTGCAAGGACCTACCATTACCATGTGTCGGATTTTAGTAAAAGTCTCAAAAGAAATAGCAATAAAAACCAATATTTATTGGATAATTGGGAAGATCTCCCCTTTGAGACTCCAGATATTTTAAGAAGTCTGGTCTACTCCTCACAGCTTTCTGTTTCAAAGAACTCCCCTAACAGTATTCCATTATTCCCTTAGTAATACAGTTCATAACAGAAAAATACCCCAAAATGGGCCCTTCCAGCTGAAGCCCAACTACTTCCTTTTAAAATACACTTGCTTAATCCCAGGTTAGCAATCAAATGTGTTGTTCTAATTCAAAAAAGTGGAAAATATTTACTACATTGCCTAACAGCATGCTAAATTTGGAGGCTTGCTTGGGAGCATATGCTGATAATTGAGTATGCGATGTGTCCTGAAAAATTGTCCTTTCCTAATCATTAATTTCAGAGGTCTCAGTAGTACATGCTCACTGTACTTTGGTACCTGTCGTTAATAACCAAAGCTTAGAATGTTAATGTATCTGCTTAGCCTTTCTTTGGTGTTCAATACACAGATTCTTCCCAGGAGTTCCCATTCTACATTTCGAAAGGAATTGGAGAGCTATTGTGTATGATTAGTTGTTTTGCTTATGTATAGTGTCTGGCTTTCCTATTAGCTTTGCCATACGATGAGTCTCATTCTTCCTCTCTTAATAGTAATATTCCTTTCTTCTTATAAAAGCTTATTCCTCTTAACCCAAAAAAAGATACTAATACTTCTGGCTTTGGTTTCATCAGTTAAACTACGTAAATTACTAACACATACATTCTAATTTCACAGTCCATACCAACCAAACAAGAGAAAACAACAAAAACCCTATTCATGAACGTCAAATTTGCATATATTTACCGTAAGCATACGCTAGGGACGGGTTATACTCGTTCCGGACCACGGTTTCTCCATCAGCATACCACGCTATCTCCTCTCCCTGACGAATTTCCCTGGGACTAACATTCCACAAACAAACCACGATCAAACTAAAACCCAAACAAACCCAAAACCACGACGCAGAAGTCCAAAACGCAAACTCTTACTTCAGAGGACGAAACCGCACCGTAACGGTCACATTCTCCTTCGCGTCCGAAGGCACGCTCTCGGAAAACGAATACGGCGTCTTGCTCCGAGCGGAAGAAGACGCCGGCGAGCTCAGACCATCCACAGAAGTTTCTAGAAACTGTTTTGAAGACGACGTCGTTGAAGAAGTCGGCGAATTCGCAGCTCTGGAGCCGCTCAATCGTAATCCCTTGGACTTCGCGCTTCGTTTCGAAGCCATCGCCATAACTCCAAGCCACAATTCACAAACTATGCAAAAACAAGTTAACTCAACGAAAACATTGATTTCATAAAACCATAAAGAAAAATTAGGTGAATCACTGAATTACTTCAACCTGTTGTCAGGTACAGTCAGAAGATGAAGACGCAGCAGGAAATCCAGAGAAACGTTTTCGCCGGAATTCTCGAAAGAGAGAAAATCAGAGGGGCATTGCAAGGAGCCGGTTAATCGGAGACGGATCGGAGAGGGGAACAAATAGGGAAATTGCTCTGAAGGAATTCAAGAGTGGAGAAGAAAAAATCGGTCATCAACTTCTTAAACAAAAGGGAAGAGAGAGTGTGTGTGAAACGGTGAGTTTTATTTAAGAATGGGTTAAGCTACATTAGTCTTGGCTTGGAAGTGATGAAGCGAAAAGGGCATTGACATTGGGTTAAGGTTGGGTGGTAAGAAGTCAACGTCAAAGATGGATTATAACAAATGGCTCTTTTTTTCTGACAGATAGAAAATGAATGTTTAGCCGATAAAAAGCGTGGTGGCGAACTTGCGGCATAATAGAAAGTGGGAACTGAAAATTTGAGACTGGTGGGGCTTTGTTTTGTCTTGGTTCTGTGTAGAAAATAATGGGGCTTTTATTCTTTTTTTAATGGTACATAGAATGTGTGGGTGGAGACATATGTTTACCAATAATTAAATTAAATTAATTAACTAACTCAATTCTTTAAATTTCGCCTCTAGTTAAGTCAACTGAAATATATATAGTATGATTGTTCTGTTAATGGAATGGTGAACTTTCATTTAAAAGATGATAAGAAAAATAGATTTATTGGTAAGTAATTAGAATAATTAATTTTAATACTAATTAATTTAGAAGTAAGATGTGATGTTTTACAATTAAACTGTAATTTTAAATAAATAATTGCGAGATGACTTAAATTTCAGAACAATTTTTATAACTTGAACGATGTTGAAAAGTTGAATTCAACCCTCCTTCCCAAAACTTTTATTTATATATGAATGTATGTATGATTTTGTTGGGTTATCCCATAATAGAATTAATGATAAGGGAAACAAAGTTATAGTATCGGGGTTTTACCTTGTCAACTTGTGATGTAAAGATAGCATGATAAACATGTGCATTGTTTTTGGTTTTGTTGGAGATATAATATGTGTAGTGATGGGATTGGATGAATAAAAGGATGTAAAGCATGTGTAGTGTGTTTACAATGATTTGTGATGATGGAATGCATGTATGATGTCTTAAGCATATTTTCACGTAATTTGGGATTTATATGGTAAATTGACTATCATATTTGAGATTATAATTGATTATCCCTTCATGTGTGATGAATTATGGTGTTTTGTTGTATGGAATCACTGAGATAATCGATTATCTTAAGTGATAATCGATTATCACAGGGTAATTTGTGTACATGTGTATGTTTCAGGAGTAATCGATTATCACTTATGATAATCGATTATCCCTAGAGTATTTTTACTAGAGACAATGCATTTTGATGAATAATGAACGTGGACCAAGCTTGAGGAGTTGTGGAATGTGATGATAATCAGAGAATGAGATTAATGGTTATGTTTAGAGTGAATTTTGACTTGTGGTTGAGATTGGAGCATGAGTGAGTGTTAGGGTGTACCTGAGTATGTGATTAATGAGCATGAAAGTGATGGATAGGTCTACTAGTTATACCTAGTAAATTCTAGTTTTATCTGCGAATATGTGCTCCCTTTAGCATATGTAGTTGAAAAGGGAGGGATATTCCCTTTGGCATTGATTGTTGAAAAGGGGTGACTCTCTTTGACATTGTTTATTGAAAAGAGAGTGGTGTTCTCTTTGGCAAATAGTTGTAAAAAAGAGAATGGTAATCGAGTGTTGAATCTTCTTTGGTGGGGGATAGATGTTCCGCCTTGTGTGATAGGGGAACAAGTCAAAGTCAAAAGAAGGATGACTCGAGTGTATCTGTAGGAGAAGCTACAGATGGGTCTGTATGAGTGGCTATAAGCGGGTGAGGTAAGGTACAAGAGTGAGTCTAACTCTTTCCACTATGGTGTTCATAGTATGGTGATGCTTATGGTGATATTCATGATTGCAATAGTCATAATGATGGTGTATCTATGATGATGATCATGATATTAAAGATGTTTTAGGTTATGCTATCTTGATAATGGTGTTATTATAATGGTTATAGTAAGTAGGTAGCGTAGGTGTTAATGAGTTGATAGATTAAGGGCCAGTGTGTAAGATGCTAGTGATAACATCAATGGTTAGTGATGAAGGATCGAGGTTTGAGGATCAGGGATCGGGGATAGAGTAATTCATTATGATTGAATTGTTTATGTTAGAGGTTTAAGAATCCTATTGTTATTAGTACCATGTGTGGGGTGATTGTTTATGGTTGATATAATCAGCGTGTTTATATCATGTTATTATGATTGTTTTAATGGTAGTTTATCTCATACGTTTTTGTGTTTGTATGTTGTAAATCGTATTATCGACGATGATCGTATAATGTGTTATATATGAGCAAATGATATTAAAGATGTTAGTGAAGCATGATAGATTCAAGAGATGACAGAATATGAACATGAAATTTTTATTTAAAGTTATTAGGTTTGAACTTTAAGACAATGTAAGTGAAGTTATTTTATTTCCTTTGTTATTTTTATTGGACAAATATTTTAGAATTTTTATATTTTAAATAAATTATACACATTTGAATGTTAAGGTTTTAAAAATATATTTTTGTACTATAATAAAGTTTTGAAACTTATTGAATAATTGGTAACACCGTGAAAATTGGAGCGTTAATTTTTTAAGTATGAGTTACTCGTTTTCTTTAAATTTTATTATGATTTAGTACTTTAAGTAACAGAAAAGTAAAGTATACCGATTTTGAAAGACCTAAAAGATTTAGAAGTCATGGTCTTTATTACTTTCGTATATTCCATGTCGTAAAAACACATTACATGTATACATATGTGTATATATTTTTTATTGTAAAATGAATAGTAATTTAAAAAGATAAAATAGTAAAATAATTATTTTAATTTATAAAATAAATAAATTTAAATTAACGGTTATTTAAAGAATAAAAACATAAATATAAGGGTTAAATATGTTTTTAGTCCCTAAATTATTGGTCGTTTCTGGTTAAGGTACAATTTGGTCCTCATTCTTTTCAAAATGTTCGTTTTAGTCCTCAAAATTTTGGTTTTAGTCCTCATTTGTTGCTAAATGAGGACCAAATTTTTAAACAGTGTTTAGTTCTCGAGAACTAAAATGAACGTTTCGAAAAGAATGAGGACCAAATTGTACGTTACTTTGAAAAAGGGACGAAAACCAGAAACGGCTAATAGTTTAGGGACTAAAAACATATTTAACCCTAAATATAATTTTTATAATTTAAAATAACGATTATTTAAAGAATAAATGTGGAAAAGAATATTATGGTATCGATTGATTAATAAGGTTGATATAATACTTCTTTATTTAGATGTCATGTTCTTCTATCAATAGCAACGGACATATTTGATTTTTCAATGTGCAAAATATTAGAAAAATACATTTTGGCACTTCTTTAACAAAATAACGTAATAATAAAATCTTTAAATTTTCATGATTATTATTATTACTTTGATAACAATAATTATTATTTTAAAATGTAGTACTAATGTTGGATATTTTACAAATAATGTAAGTTTACAGTATATAATTAGGGATAAACTTCATTTTACAAATTGATTTTATAAAATTGAATTACCGTTAAAATTCATTTTTTAACATATTATCAAAGTTGTAAGTATAACTTATCCTAGTGAAATTTATTGTTTATTAAACTTATTGCATCATTTCTTGTCGAGAGATTTGTTGTTTGTTGAGTTATTGAGTTATTGTACCATCCACGATCAGATCACACATTTCACATTTTAAATGTATATGTCTCGACATGATGGAGTGTGGTGGATCTCACATGGACTAAAATTAAGGCTAAGTGGGTGCAAACTAATAAACATACACTTCTACATTTATTTAATTCTTCAATATAAAATAAATTTATGAATTATCATTTTGTCATTTTAACATAACAAACAAAATAAAGTATACAAAGTATAAGGAGAGTAATAGAGGACTATCTCTTAATACAATACAAAGTTGAAAAAATATTCAAGTGATATAAATTTGAGGACAAATTCTCTTCAAGAAGGAGGGTATGATAGATAATTGTCTTTTGATTCAATATAATAAGAACTTGAGGATGAACCTTTGCAATTTAAAGGACTTGAAGACATGAATTTCATGGCTTGGAACACAATTTTAGAATAAATTTTAAGCAATTAAAGCGTATGTACTTTATACGAGAATGTCGAGTAGTTGTTAGGAAAAAAAGGTGTTTTGCTAGACAAATAATTTGTTTTTGTTTTTAAATTTTCAAGTTATTTTTTTCCCCAATGTCTTTGGGGTTTCTTTTAGGATTTTTTGGATGGATTAAACATTTGTGCCTATATATAAAGACACCAAATACATTTTCATATAACTTAGATGGTCATTAAATGAAAATGGGTTTTTGATTGAGAGAAGGTTGTATTGATTCTTGGATTATAACTCTAATTCTTATCAATATGTTCGATTGTGGTATCTCTAGCTCTAGTTCTTATCAAAGATGTTAATCTTTATGACAAATCTTCATTGATTTATCAATTTATTGTGACATATTTATGTGTGTTTTATTTTGCGTTATTCTTTAATTTATTTTTGTTTGTGCCTTTTAAGTATTCAAATCCAAAATAATCGGACTATTTCCTAAATATGGTCATGTCATCTGACACCAAATTGTATCACCTAATATTCAAATTGTATCAAAGAGATAATCTGAAAAAGAAACACAAAACATAAAAAAAGATATATATAAGAGAAAACGTGATAAAAAATATAATTGTGAGAAAACTATGAAATAAAGAAATGACTAAGTTACCAAAGTTGATTTTAGTGTTAAGTCGCCATTAGTATGTGGTGATGACTATTCCCATTTTTTCATGAGGTAAATGATTTAACAATGACTGGGTTTGATGTGTTTAGGTAGATCATTCATGTGTTCTTCTCGATTGTTTATACAATATTTTGTAGTGTGTTAGTTTTTTTTATTGTTAATGTATCGTAGTTTAGGATTGATAGATGATTTAGGGTTAAATTATCTCAAAGCTAGTAAGTTAGAGATTGATTTGCCACTTATAACAGAAATTAGGATTTTTGTGGCTTTTGTACCTGCTTAATGTATTTCAACTACCTTAGTTTTGAATACCTGAATTTGCTTCATATAAGCATTTTTTTTCTTGTTTATTCTAAATGACTGAAAAAAAAAATTGATTGGTTGTTTGCCATGATAGTCAAAGCACTGATTGATTGAAATATTCATTGAAGTAATGGTGATATGTGTATTTGTACTTTGTAAGTCGTGTATAAGAATCAATATAGGTTAATAATATAGGTTATAATTATGAAGAGTGGATATTATATTAAATAATATCTTTGAAGATTTAGCCTTAAGCT